CCCCCCCCCCCCCCCTAAATAAAAAGGATTTTTTCAAGGGTCTCAACTCATTTGGCTTTGTCCATTTGTGGACGCTTGTAGTAATATTCAGCGATCCTGCTAGTTAAATAGCCTAATAATGTTTAAAGGGGCGTTAAAGACATAGCTTTGCGCTGAAAGATTTCCCATCGTAGTGTCCAGGGGTCAGATGGATGTCATCATCATCAATGCCTTTCACCCCTGCACCCCTGGGAGGTTTTAGGCCACATACAAGCTCCTTCCTTTTATCTCTGTCCTGTGTCATCCTCCGAAGCTCGTTCCAGGTGAGCTTCATCTCTCTCATGTCCCTTTCCACACATCTCCTCCATGTTTCCCGTGGCCTACCCCTGCTTCGTACTCTCTCTCTCTCTCTCTGGGTTCTGCTGCAGTGACAGTCTTGAGATGTTTCCGCTGGACTTTCTTAACTCTATCCGTAGGCCCAGAGGTCATTTTGTACCCCCGTGGTTGTATTCTTCACATTTAAGAATACTTCTAGTACGAAGATCTCTTTGAAACTTTCAGTATTTCTAAAAAATCATCTTAACAGATTGCTATGTAAAAGCGTACAGATCGGATAAACAAGTAAATTTCTCCTTTGGAAAGTAATGGCATAGAGTCCCCCACGTCGTATGGATTCAATAGTAAAACACGACGTATAGATAGGGTAAAGGTGTGTCCCATCGATTGCCACTTTTTTAGTCCTATTTCTACTTCCATATCCTTTTGTCCTGTCCTTTCCCACAGCTCTACATTTCTTATTCTATCCTGCCAGTTAATTCTTAGGATACTCCTCATACATCTGTTGATGAAATTCTGGACTTTATTCAGTACTGTCTTTTTTGTTTTCCAAGTTTCGCAGCCGTAGAGGAGCACAGACTTGACGTTGGGGTTAGAGAATCGAATCTTGGTGCGCAGTGAGATGTTGCTAGCTTTCCAGACTTTTAATAGTTGATTGAATGCTGACCTTGCTTTGGCGGTTCTGGCTTTAATATAATATGCTTCGGTTCCACCTTTACCATCGGTGACACTCCGACTGATGTGATGTACATGAATATTATGTACGTGTTCGCGATGATGCTGTTATTCGGAAAATCCACTAGGGTCACTAGATGCGGTGGCTTTGACGTAAACATGACGTCATGAGATGAATCAGCTGTTCTCTGTGTCCACATTCTGGTTCGTTAGTTGCCAGTTGGGGTGTTTATCGCTAATGATTTCTCTACCTTCCACCTAGAACCTTTACTTTTGGTTCAATGTTCTCTGCCGATCGGGTCGATTGTGATGTTTGAGCGCCCGCGGCACGCGCGTGCC